AGTAGGAATTTGTTACAGACCATGAAATGATACTGATGAAATTAGTGAGAAACTTTATAATGAGATTAAGATTTCAGCTGTTAATGAAGTCATAATTATGGGTGATTCTAATATCAGGCATATAGATTGGTAAATGCCAGAGTCAAACCATGAGGGAGAAAGGTTTTTGGAAACTGTTCAAGATGGCTTTCTTCACCAATTAGTTAAGAAACCTGCTTGAAACAATGCTATTTTAAATTTATTGTTAACTTCAAATATAGAAATGATAGAGAGGATGAAAATTGGGGAACATCTGGGTGCAAGTGATCATTGCTCCATTAAGTTCAATGTTTTGCTGCATATGGAGATAAGGAATAATGATATTTTTGGTTACAAACTTCAAAAAAGCAAATTTTGAAGAGATGCAACAAGAATTATCTGTTGTGAATTTGGCAGCTGAATTATTTGGAGACACTGATCAGATTTGGAAAATTGTTAAAGATAAATTTTAAATATTCAAGGTATAAAAATATTCCTTATAGAAAGAAAAGGGTAGCTACAAGTAAAAAAAACCGGTTAAATCACAAAGAGTTTAAAAGATAATATTAAAGAAAAGCATCATAAATTTAAGAAATTTAAATTGACTGGTATGTCAGAAGACTCAGAAGATTATAGAAGATCAAGAAAGTTGGTGAAACAGGAATTTAGGACATCAAAAAGGATGTGTGATAAAAGGTTGGCTGAAAATGTAAAAATTAACAAAAAGGATTTCTTAAAATACATTAAGGGTAAACAAACTGTCAGTATAAGGGTAGGGCCCTTGAGGGATGATAAAGGAAGGCTCATATCTGATGATTATGAGATGGCTGGGTTATTAAAGTGAGCTTTTTCTTCGGTTTTTTCTTAACAAAGATTTAAGCAGTATTGAACAGTTGATAAATGGAAATGAGATCAAACAAGATGACTGCATTAATTTTGAGCTGGTTAAGAACAAATTGGGAAGTTTAATGAACATTAAGGCTTCTGGGCCAAATAATATTTCCCCAAGGGTTTTGAAGGAGGTTAAAGATTGATATGTGAGCCACTTACTACTATTTTTTGTCAGTCCTTGAATAATGGGCAGGTACCAGAGGATTGGAAGTTAGCTAATGTAAGTCCTCTTTTCAAAGGAGGTGACAAAAATTGTTCCAATCATTATAGACCTATTAGTCTTACATCAGTTGTGGGAACATTTTTGGAAAGTCTGTTAAAAGATGCTTTGCAAAGTCATTTAACAAAGGTTAGAATTTGATGGGATAGTCAACATTGTTTCACTAAGGG